AGACTGGTATTTTGGAGAGAACATTGCAACATTTTTTTTTGAGATATCAGTGAGGTGACAGTAATTTTTGCTGAATATCATAAATAAAAGTGCAACCCCAAAGCTATTTTTAAAGAGCCCTGGTACAGTTAAAAAGCAAACTAACTTTGAACTTTTATTAGCCACAGTGAGACACATGAAAGGAATATAGTGGTGCCTCTATGAGGAGATACTTGGGAAGCAAAGCTCTGGTTGATAAAGTCAACTTGTGGGCAAACAGAAAGAGGTTGTGCCAGTGATGGTGGCTGTAAAGTAAGAGCGTCAGGGTGTCTGTTCCTGGAACCTCCTCCATAAGAGTCGGCGCCTAGCCCACCTGAGTGGGGCTCCACACCAAGAGGGTCTCATGGCTAGGATACCTGAGAATGGACTCTATGCACCAAGGACAAGAGAGGCCCAAGTTCTGCACAAGTGAATAATCTTGGGGCAGGGCCCACCTTGCTGGGAGAGAAGACAGGTCCTGCTAAGTTGGAAAACAAGGAGGTTCTAGGACAAGTTTTCCTCTGCCTTCCATAGCATGCCTGCACTTCTAAGAAATTGCTGACCACAAAGATGGCTCTTCTATTACTTCCCCTTCCTTTATTGAATTTGGGCATTCATTCAATAAATATTTATTAAGTGCTTGCTATGTTCCGAGTACCATTCTAGGTGCTAGGAGATCCAGTGATGAACAAAATACACAAGGTCCCTGCTTTTATGGAGTTTACATTCTGGTAGAGGAGACAGACAAGAAGCCAGTAATGAAATTAGTAAAGAACATACTTTTAGGTAGTGGTGAGTGCTATGAAGATACTAACAAAGGATGATGTGATGAGAGACTGGATGGCAGTTCAAACATGGCAAGAAATAGTTGCATTTCAGAAATACAATGAAGGAAGAGTCACGGGATTTACTGTTGGATTAGATGTAGCATGGGAAGGAAATAGAGGAATCAATGCTGCTAGGCTTTAGTCTGAGGATCTGGCTAGTGGCATTTCCTGAGATGAGGAAAATGTGGGGAAGACAGTGTGAGGGGAAACAAGAAGTTGATATGCACTGTGAGGTGGAGATGGTGGCTAGGCATTTGGTTATAGGAATCTGGAGTTTAGGGAAGAGGTCTAGTCTCAACAGAGAGATTTTGGAGTCCAGAATGTAAGTAGTATTTAAAGCCTGAATGAGATAATCTAGGATAGTGGTCGGCAAACTGCGGCTCACGAGCCACATGCGGCTCTTTGGCCCCTTGAGTGTGGCTCTTCCACAAAATACTGACTTCTGTGCATGGGCCATGAAGTTTCAATCGCACTGTACATGTGCGCCTGCACGTGGTATTTTGTGGAAGAGCCACACTCAAGGGGCCAAAGAGCCGCATGTGGCTCACGAGCTGCAGTTTGCCGACCACTGATCTAGGATATGGTAGCCACTGCCACATGTGTCTATTGAGCACTTGAAATGTGGCTAGCCCAAATTGAAACATACTATATGATTAAAATGCAACGCAGATTTCAAAGACTTAGTAAGAAAAGAATGTAAAACATTTCACTTATATTATTTTTATAATGAATACATGTTGAAATGACAATAATTTGGTTCTATTGAGTTAAATAAAATATTAAAAATAACATCACCTGCTTCTTTTTGCTATTAGAAAATTTAAAATTACAAATTATGTGGCTCATAGTAATATTTTCATATAATGACATGGGTCTAAGAAGTGATTGTAGATACATTAGCAGGAAGGCCCAGGTTAGAATCCTCAGGTGCTACATTTCAAATTTAGTGGAGGAAAAAGAGCCAGCAAAGGAGATTAAGAAGGAACAGCCAATGAGGAAAACTAGAGGAGTGTTGTTCATGATAAAGGCAAGTGATACAATTATTCAAAAGGAGGGAGCGTCCTGCTGCTATGATGTCAAATAGGTGTCGGTTGAATTTAACATGGGAAGTTTTGGTGAGGTAGTTTGGAAGCTATTCCATTTGGAAGCCTGATTGGAGAGAGTGCAGGAGAATAAGTGAAGACATAAATATAGTAAGTATAGATAATTCTTGAATTTTGCTTTAAAGAGATGCAGAGAAATGGGGTGGTAACAGGAAGAGGATATCCCATAGAGGGGAGCTTTGTGTGTTTTGTTGTAGTTGTTGGTTTGTTTGTTTAGAAGGGGAGATAGCTCAGCTGATGGTGGTGCTGTCTTTGGGGGCCCCAGGAGTCAGTTGGGGAAATAAGGCAAGTGTGCCAAAAAAAATTTGAGACAGTCTAAACTCAAGAGCTAGTTAAATGGAATGATAGTTAAATTGAATTATTCTATTAGTGCTTAGGGATTCCGATGCTGCCAAGATGCCCCCTTTCTTTGTTTTCCCTTTAGTCTTCCATACAGGGTGGGGCAAAAGTAGGTTTTTGGTTCTGAGTACGAGAAACAGTTTATTCTTGTATAAGTAATCGTTTATTATTGCATTATTTTCCATATGAATAACTTCAAACCTACTTCCCCCCCCACCCTATATATTTTCTCTTTGGTTGTTTTTTCCCTTTCTTTTACTCCTGACAGTGTATCAAGGACAATGTTAGTCTGCTGTGGCCCAGTATTTTGGAAAAAGGCTCCTTTTTCATGTACTTCTCTAAAGCTCAGAGATAGTTTATTTCCACAGTGTCTGAATAGCCTTCCTTAACTCTTAACATTTGCAACAACATGGATGGGTCTGGAGAGTATTATGCTAAGTGAAATAAGCCATTCAGAGAAAGATAAATATCACATGATCTCACATGTGGAATCTAATGAACAAAATGAACTGATGAATTAAATAGATCCAGAGACATAGAATCATGGAACAGCTTAATAACTGTTAGAGGCAAGATGGGGGTGGAGGGGTGAGGGGGAGAGATTATCCAGGGAATTTATATGCATGTATGCATAACCCATGGACACAGAATATAATATGCTGAAGGCCTGGGAGGGGCAGGGGCGGGGTGGAGGGGTCAATGGGAAAAAACAAAGGGGACATCTGTAATATTTTCAACAATAAAAATAAATTAAAAAATAAAACATAGTTCTGAAAAAATGAAAATAAAAAGCTTTCCTTAGGGCAGGAGTGGGGTGCTGCTATATTTATTAAGATGGTCCAGAAACTCACCAGTGATGGTCCAAGCAACTTTTCTGTTCTTCTTCTGAATTTCTGAGGGGTTTCTGAATTGCCCTACTCCTTTGCTTCTTCCAGTTGTCCAGATGGAATGTGTGTGTATGTGTGTGTATGTGTGTGTAAACTAGTGAGCACTATATAGGCCTGGGGCTTAGTCATCTTCAGGCAGAATTGTGATATTGGCTGATAGAGTTTGAGTGACTTGAACAACATCTTTCAACCAAAGTGTCAACATCTTTCAGCCAAAGCCCACCAGGAACACACCTGTTGTTGAACAAGTTGGGTTTATTATTCATTGTAGCCAGAAATAATTCACACCATAAGCCTTTTCAGTGAGAGAGTCTGAAGCCATCCTGACACCAGAGCCTCAGTCATTCTCACTGGGTGACCTTACAAGTTTACCTTAACCTCAGAGCCTGTGATCGCCTCTCTCTACTTCCAGAGGTGTATAAGGGGCTTATGGCTATAAACAGCAGCACAGATGAGTCTGGAGCCCATCGATTAAGCTGCAAGGACAGCCTGGGAGTAGAGAAGATCTGGAGAGGTGGCACTCCAGAACCTACTTAACCCCACTTGATGGCACTTGCCTCTCTACAAGCCCTCTTGTTGTGTGTAGGAATACAGCACCCTTTCTCTGTTATGGTGCCCATCATATCCCCCCAAAAAACTCCCATAAAAATGTCAGCAGTGATTTATAAAAGTTTGAATATCAACTGACATGCTTCCCTAGACCTATCATTCCTAGCTTTTGCTAGAAGGCTAGATTGAGTTGAAAATTTACATTTGACTCTCAATTGTATATCTGCACTAATGGAAAAGAGCTTAAGGAAAGATAATTCTCCCACAACATGGAATCAGTAAAGGTGAAATTTTTCTTTTGATGATCACTCTGATTGTTTCCCACTTTTGGTTGTGTAAAACAATGCTATGATAAGCATTCTTGCATGTATATTTTTGTATACAAGTGTTAGTATATCCACAGGGTAAAGTACTAGCAGTGATGATACTGAATCAAACGGTATATGGATTGAACCTGCAACCCAGGTATGTGCCCTTGACTAGGAATAGAACCTGAGATCCTTTGGTTCACAGGCCTATGCTCTAACTATTTAGCCACTGGCCAGGGCTAGATCAAATTTTTTACATTTGTCTTTTTGGGGGGTGGGTAATAGCTTTATTGAGATATAATTCACATACTACACAATTAATCCATTTAAGGTATAAAATCAATGCATTTTAATATATTCAAAGATTTGTGTAACCATTATGACAATTAATTTTAGGACAATTTCACCACCACAAAAAGAAGCCCTGTTTGCCCTGGTTGGGTACCTCAGTTGTATATTATACATTTTGCTGATCTGACAAAAAAATAGGTATAATTTTAATTGATTTACAACAAAATAATAATCTACCTTTTTTTTTTTTTTGCTACAAAGTGGCTTTAAAAAAATAAGGTACCTATACTTGTATATAAGGATTTCTGGTACCAAGAATTAACCAATCAGATCTAACCCTATTATGCAACTCTATTATATGACCTATATATTTATAATTCAAGACAGGGCATTTACACCGGACAGTTATTGTTGTGATTACTGCTGTAATTTTTAATTTGACAATCTAAGGGAAAAGAGGTCAGTGTCCCTGACTAGTCAGGTATAGCATGTTTTTAAAATTCTTGTGGTACACCGGTTAAAAATCGCTGTTCTAACTGAAGGATAAGGAGTAGGGTAAAATGATTATATTATGTTCTGAATATCAAATGATGATTTTTTTGTGAGAAAATGCCTTTTTTATTGTCTAAAGTTTTCAAATGATGATCTTTTGCTTTTTTACTCTATATTTTACTTTAGTGTTAATCCTATTATGGCTGCATCACTAAGGGAAGCTTCTGCCAATCTGGAAGTTCTGGAGGCCAGTGATGAGAGTAAGTAACTCCATAAAGTCTTGATAACTACAAATAGATTTATTTACTATGTTTAACAACCCTAGGAAAGAAAATCAAGTCACAAGCAAACAAGTTCATATCAAATTTCTTACATTAGGCTCAGTCCACATTTACTTTTTAGCCTTCTAAACTCTTCACTTTCATTTCCAATCTGATACTCAAAAAGTTTGCCTGAGGCCCTGCAATCTTATTTGGGGATTGTTAATATGTTATACTTACTAAGGCAGGGGAAGTGTTTCTGTTTAATCAGGAAAAAAATCAGAACAGCCCATGATCAGAGAGATTCAACTGAGGTTTTACTGTAGCTAGTAATCCAGATTTAACCAAGAGTAAAGGGGAGATAGAAACAGAAGATGCCACCATAGGCTTCTGTTAAATAGGATTCAATTAAAACATTTTCTTGTTGCAAAACTTACTCAGATGTTTATCATTGCCTAAATTATGGTGCCAACTATAAGTGATGGGTGTTCATGAGTGATAGAAAGGGAGGCAAAAGTTACTAAAAATATTAAGCTTTATTGACACTAAAAAAGGAAAAAGAGGAATCTAATATCTGAAATGAGATATTGAACTTAAAAACTGGCTTTAGTAACTCACTGAGTTGTTCTCAATTTTTTCTGCACTTCTTAGTAGTATATGGTGTAGAAAGACTTGGTATGGAAGGATAGAGAGAGGGTAATCTTTTGGGGGCTTCCTGGGGGCCAGACTTCACTGATGATGTGGGGTGGAGGATACTGAGCATGGTACATGGATCTTTGAGGAGAGAGTTTGGGTATTCATCTCTGTGTCACCATTGTTTAGTATTGGGCCTCAGAGAGAGTGATTAGACACTCAAAATTTATAAAGAATGAATTAAATAAATGAATGATAGTCCTCCTCACCTAGGCAGCCCCAAACACTAAACCAATTGACCTATCTTTTTGTACATGAGCTAGATATAAGCCTACAAAAGAAGATGGCAATGCAATGCAGCTTGGTGAAGAATGAAGGTAAGGAAATAGCTTTTCCCTATCCCCAAGATTTTGTGCTGTTAATCCTCACCCGAGAATGTCCTTCCATTGATTTTTAGAGAGAGTGGGAGAGGGAGAGACAGAGAGAAATATCAATATGAGAGAGAGACATCGGTTGGTTGATTCCTGCATGCATTCCCACCAGGGCGAGGGATCAAGCTTGCAACCGAGGTACATGCCCTTTACCTGATTCAAACCTGAGACCCTTCAGCCTGAGTGCCGACACACTGTCCACAGAGCCAAAGTGGCCAGGGCCCTAAGATTTTTTTAAAAGACGAAACATTTGGGTACATTTTTAGTATTAGTCATTGCTAGCCAGAGAATAAGGTGGTTATTGGGAGGCTGAAGGGAAGAAAGGCTAGTTAGAAATGTTTTCTTTCCAAGCAGCAGTGCAAGAGAACAAGGTCACCATTATGTGATGCATTTTTAAAGCTAAGTTCAACTTAGACGAGCTGCCTGTGTGCATGGTGGATAAGCAAATATACAACTCAGCAGCAACGATTCCATCATTGGATTTAATGGTGTTTTCTTCTCTGGGGGAAAACCTGCCTGCCATGGGCCATTTTCTGGCATGTGACACACTGCAGGCCCTCATTGGATGAGGATGTTGAAAGCTACTGCCTGTTTGAGAATACATAGTCCTTAGGCTTGGATAGGGAAATGAATGGCTTAGTTGTAGAAGTCCAGACAGCTGTCAGCTCTCAGTTGTCAGCACACTGACCACCACTGCTGTACCTTATGGGGCATAAAGTACCCAGTGTATAGGTGACCTATATAAACATTACTGGATACAAGTGTGGGTTTTGACCCAAATCTGCTGTATAGGTCTATCTATCCTTACACTTTTAGCAAATCTTGAAACCAACCCTCACAGGACTCAGCTGCTGGCAATTTAAAGGCACCCCTTTACAAAGAAAGCTTGAAAGACCAATTTATACACGTGAATACATGGCAACTGTCTCAGATTCCATTAAGGGTTCAAAAGTAACATAGCATTTGGACAGTTCCCAGCTTTGTAGCTCACACCCTGGGTTGGTCTCCATACATGGAGTCTGATGTGGTTCATGATGGGGAGGTCTCCTAATCCAGAGGAGGCTTAAGACTTGGCATCTTGCAGCTTGCCTTGCACTGTGCTACTTGTTAAAGGGATTTGAAAGAGGGCCTGCCTACAACCTTGATGAGGGGACAGTAGCTAAGACTTAGAACTGTATCTTATTCCTTTCACATGATACACAAAATGTAGTAAGTGCTTGATCTTAATAAATATTTGTTGAATAGATGAATGAACTAATTAATGTGCAGACTAGAGAGCATTCAGATATAAATGCTCTTTTGGTGCTAACACTCATGTTTTAAGTATGCATAGAGAAGCATGAACTTGAGAGAAAAGTGAATGCCTAGTGCAATGGTTCTCAACCTGTGGGTTGCGCCCTCTGTGGGGGTCAAACGACCCTTTCACAGGAGTCACCTAAGACCATGGAAAAACACATATATAATTACATATTGTTTTTGTGACTAATCACTATGCTTTAATTATGTTCAATTTGTAGCAATGACAGTACATCCTGCATACAGATATTTACATTACGATTCATAACAGTAGCAAAATTACAGTTATGAAGTAGCAATGAAAATAATTTTATGGTTCGGGGTCACCACAACATGAGAAACTGTATTAAAAGGTTGCAGCATTAGGAAGGTTGAGAACCACTGGCCTAGTGAGTGAGACCTAAACAGAGGCTGCCCAAACACCACACAGAAGCTGGAGCCTGAGCTTCTGCACTTACCAGCAATTCAGATACTTTGTCACACCAAAAAGTTTCCAGGTCGATTCCAGGTCAGAGCACATGCCCGAGTTTCAGGCTCAATCCCCAATAGGGGGTATGCAGGAAGCAGGAAGCAGCCTATCGATGTTTCTCTCTCTCCCTCTCCCTTCCTCTCTCTTAAATCAATAAAAAGCATATCTTTTTTTTTAAAAAAGAACAAACCAAATGAATGGTGCTATGGTCCCTGGTAGCAAGAACCAAGATCTGCAGGGCACCTGGAATCATAGTCCTTCTTCATATCACAGAGACCCTGTTTCCTCTCTTGTCTTCCCTCCCACCATCACACTATGTATCACTTTCATTCCTAACTTCCAGGAAAGAAGAAATCTAAATTTAAAGCCTTCAAGAATTTTTTTGGCAAGAAGAAGAGAAAAGAGCCTGAAGGTATCCAGAGAAGAGGAAGCAGCTTGAAACCAAGCTCGTCCAACAGCAGCATCAACAGCTCTTCTCTGAATCTGGTTCAGGAAGGTCAACAATCTACATTTAGGTAAGCTCTCGGGGGCTGGTGTGAGGGGGTTGGAGGGGGATGGGGACAGATTGCTAGACCCAGGTCCCCCTTTTGTAGCCAATCACTGGTGGGCCTTCGATTCCAGGGACTTTTGGCCTCCATGCCTGTGGAGGCTGGGTTGGTGGCCATTGTCAATGCAGCCATTTCTCAGTGTCCTTTCTCTGTGCTCACGTGTAGACTTGTCTGGGCCGCACAGCTCAATGGGTTGGAACATGATAAATGCACAACCCATTGCCCAAGAGCTCTTGGTGGAGGGCACAATAGATCAAGGAAACCTTCCCCTGTCATAGCTACAAGAACTTGAGAAACGGGGTCTACCACTAGAGCTGCAGGCCTCTGTTTTATAAGGTAATAATAGCCCACATTATTCAGGAAGCTTGGTCTGGTTTGCTTGCCTGGCCCTCAGACTGTAGCTCTGTGATTACTGGGTGAGGGGAGCTAGATCTCAGAATACGTGAATAAAGTATCAGTGAAGCCATCTAGCTGAGTTGGGGGTATAAGTGTGAAGTCACTGTATTAATGTAAAAATGAACAAATAAGCACGAAAACAAAGAACCCAAATGCATTTTCCCCTCTGTCCCAGGAGACTAGGGGAAATGTTACAACTGTTCACAGAAGGGATGGGGAATATTGTTTCTGCCCCTGCCACCCCTATTCAAAGTTTTATCTGTGATGCCCCATTTTCCATATCCTATTGTGGAAAATCTGGACACCCAGTACCACCAGCTGTTCCTAGCTCAATTGGATCTCCCTCTATGGAGTTCCACTTGGGCCTGTTCTCCTGACCTTAAATTCTAGACTTATCTGAACTCCCCACAGAGCTCACCTGTGCTTCTCCTCATTCTCTCAAGGCTTTGCTTAGTGGTGATGGTACAGTTAGCAAACATGTTATACTGCCCCCTAACAGCTAGCAAATAAGTGTCCTTAAGGAGGACCTTAATGAGTGCAATGAATATGAGGAATTTCAGATAGCTTTGCTAGTGGGAAAGACGGTTTTGGACAGGGGCTTGTTTCATACCTCAAAAATCATACCATTAGAGACCATGGCCTTATAGCTCCAAATAAGGCTAAGACAAGCCCTTCTAAAAACAGAAGGGTAGGGTGGGGAAGGGCATTTGGGTTGACTCCATGCTGTCTCTACAAATTGGCAAGGGCTGTCTCTACTAAAATTGTATATTTCCCCTTCTTACTTGCCCCTCTCCCTCCAAGATGGTCCATTTAGTTTGCCACATTCTCCACAAAGAAGGTGTGTGCAGGTGAATCTCTCTGAGATGGTTGGGGAAAGGAGGGAAGGAGAGAGAATGAGAATGAGAGGGAAAGGGAGTGCATGTAAGTGCATGAGCGAGCTCATGTATGAGTAAGGGTGCTTTTCTAAGGAACTGAGATAGGTCTTTATTTTGCAAGGAGCATAAATTAATTGAATATAACGTGGGAGGTCTGAGGATTACTCCTGACCCCAGTTTCTTAATGTTGCGTGAATTTTACCTCAACTATGTATAGTCTACATATTGAAATCCAAGAGTCATTGCTTGTAAACAATGTTGGGCGAATGATTAATATGTGATTACACAGCATCTCCAGCAGTAATTGGTTCTGTTGTTGCGTGATGTGACTTTCTGCAGCAGTTTTAATGCGTGCAGATGTTCCACAGATGCTAAGCCACACCCCAGCCATGTGCATTTGCTAATCTCAGTGACTGGTGAATGCACACATTTACTAGGCCTATTCGGTATAAATTTAAAATGATAGTAATACATATAGAAAACTTTTCTGTGAAATTAAACTTTTCATACATTCATAATTTTAATTACACAAACATATCTACATAAGAAAAACAGGTAAATTTTCAATTTTTAACATACACATTTGGAAAACCTAACTTTATTATATAATGGACTTTCTGCTTTAACGGACATCCTTTTGCTTGAATTAGTCCATTATATTGAGGTTTTACTGTATTTAATTTTTATGAAATCCATCTATCTATTTTTTTCTTTTGTCGCTTAAGCTTTTTGTGTCATATCTAATACATTGCCAAATCCAGATAATGAACACATACCCCTATGTTTTCTTCTAAGAGTTTAAGCTCTCATATTTAGGTTTTTGACCAATATTGAGTTAGTTTTTATATAAAGGCTGTCCCAAAAATGTATATACATTTTGAATGATTATAAAGTCAGTGTTTATGAACATACAGTTCATTTAAAATTTTTAAAACAATCTATCAAAATGAATAATTTCTTTTGTCAATGCCTGTTTTCAAACTGATGACTGTTCTGGTCCAGGCACGTTCTGGTCCAGGCACTACTGATAATAAAGCAATGGAATCTCAAACATCAAGAATCATTTTGTTGAGTATTTGTGTGCCCTCAATTCATTGACTGTTGCCAGTTTTATACTGTAAACTGTATTATTTATGAATCCCTATTAAAAAAGTCTAGTGGCACTTTAGGATGAATTTTCTTTGTTCAAAACTTAGTCTGGCTTTACCCATTACTTAAAATCAGTTAAACCTACAAAAGAGTGAAAATTAAGTGAGTTATCAGCTATTAAAGTGTTTATACATTTTGGGGGGATACCCTATACAATGTGAGATAAGAGTCCAACTTTATTCTTTGCTTGTGGCTATCCAGTTTTCCCAGCACTGTTTGTTGAAAAAACTATTCTTTCCCCCACTGAATGGTCTTAGCACCCTTGTTATGTCAGTTAACCAGAGGTGAGTGAGTTTATTTCTGGATTCTCAGTTCTATTCCATTGATCTATGTCTACTTTTAGACCGGTGCCAAACTGTAGCTTTGTAGTCAGTTTTGACAGTGGCAAATATGAGTCCTTCAAATTTCTTTCTTTTCAAGATTGTTTGGCTATTTTTGTTCTCTTGCATTTCAATGTGAATTTTAAAATCAGCTTGTCCATTTATGCAAAAAAAGCTTAAAGGCAGCTGGAATTTCATTTAATATCTCACAAACAACTTTTTGTCTCAGCATTTATTCATCTCTACCCTCCTTCCGTGATGTCTGTCATAGGCCATATTATAGATATACATGTGTCTTTGGTTCCTATAGCCCTTGGGCTGCTTTTACAAGACTGTTTCCTTCTTTTCTAGGGTCAGGGGAAACATGAGCAAATCCCTGTCCCATGAAAGCGTCTTCAGGTCGAAATCTGAGCTTGAAAGTCCAGAACATAAAATATACCCCTCTCCAGAGCCCCAGAGTGGCAGATCTCTGAAGGTAATACTGAACTTGAATATCAGTGCCTATTTGGACTACTCTTCCTCCATTCCCTATTCCTACCTCACCAAAAAAGGAGGGAGGAATTTGGCCTTACTTCTCTACTGATTCTACCTCCACAGGGCTCTTGTAAACATTGAATGAGAGAATGTACTTTAAATATATGATGTGCTTACCTAGTGCTTGTCACATAGTATTGACTAGTGTTACCATATTCACTTTATTTGACACACCCAAGAATTTAAGTATTATTACAGTGATATCCCACTGTTAATGTGCAAGTATTCTAACCTCCATGTTTTTTCTTTCTTCCACAGAGAGCTCATATTTCCAGAACTCTGTCTATCACTAGTAGTGTGCATAGACCTGTTTCTGGAACTCTGCTTGGAGTTATACCCCATTACGTGCACAGAAGTGGAATCTGGATTGGAGGCTCCAAGATCACTGAGGTAATAGAGTAGAATTGTTCAAAGTATGGCATCTAAGTCAAACAGACAGACCTATGCTTGAATTCTTAATCTGCTACCTATTGGCTCTATAACCTTGGACTGATTGCTTAACCTCCATGAGCCTTCCTTTCCTCACTTACACTGGGTATAATATTAGTATCTCCCTCAAAGAGTTGCTTGTGAGGATTGATAAAGACTCATAGAGGTTTTAGAAATTGCTCAGGATCTCCCAGATAGTAAGTGATAGACTTGGAAATCTGGCCCAGTTGTGTTGACTTTAAAACACATGGTCTTTCCATTAGCACAGTCTTTAAGATGCTCAACTTCTTTTTTTTAAAAAATATATTTTATTGATTTTTTACAGAGAGGAAGGGAGAGGGATAGAGAGTCAGAAACATCGATGAGAGAGGAACATCGATCAGCTGCCTCCTGCACATCTCCCACTGGGGATGTGCCCGCAACCCTGGTACATGCCCTTGACCGGAATCGAACCCGGGACCTTTCAGTCCGCAGGCCAACGCTCTATCCACTGAGCCAAACTGGTTTCGGCGATGCTCAACTTCTTTATACCTGCTTCAACAGGGAGAAGGGCACGCATTTAGTCTCCACAAAATGCAGCATGTGAGTTCAATCCCCAGTAAAGGTACATAGAATAATCAAATAATGAAATAAGTGGAACAACAAATCCATGTCTCTCCCTCCCTCCATCTCTGGGAAGGCCACACAGGGAAGAGACCCTTCTCCACTGGAGAGCTGATTATTCCGTATTTGGCAAAAGGTTACTTGGGTTTATTTTTTATTGATTGATTGATTTGGGAGAGGGAGGGAGGGAGAGACAGAGAGAGAGAGAGAGAGAGAAAGGCTATTGGTGTGTAAGCTAAGGCTATCGGTCTTTGGTTTGAATAGGTACTAGAAGTGAAAACAGGGAGGTAGAAGATTCTTTATTTGGCATGTTTTTTAACTTTGGGTTCTTACTCCTTTAACCATTAAGCAACAAGAAAACATGCATAATTTGGAGGAAAGTACCCAAGTTTTAACTTTTTTCCTTTTATACTCCTCCTTAACAGATTCCACCACTGCGCTCATGCCAGCCCATCAACCCAACCCTGATACGAGCTGACACAATCCCTAAGGACTTTGAAGAAATCTCTGCTGCTGCTGAGTCACCTAAGACCCCACAAAAGGCTTTTCCACCGATGTTGACAATGGAGAAGGTTAGCTCCATCCTAAGTGGCAGGTTGTGTGGGGGTAGCGGTAGGTGGAGCACAAGTCAGAGGCATAGTTTCTTCTTGAGTTTTATTTTCTCCTGTTGTAGCTCAATACTAGGAAGATTAGTGGGGAAGGAGAGGCCATTCTTGGTTATTTACATGGTGATTTACATTTTCTATCCAATTCTAAAAGCCAAATAATTAGTCTTCAAGTTATAAGCAATAGGCCATATCTAAACAAAAAAATCGTTTCCAGTTATTTCAGAAAGAAAACAATGGAGATTTTGATGGGAGTAAAGCCTCTACAGATTTAATGCCAAAATTTTAAGGTTAAGGCATGTAGTATTATTTGAGAGACACATATCCATATGAAAAAAATCATTTCACGTATGAGAGGGCATGCATGTGTATTTCATATATCTAAGTTTGTCAACCAAATAATATTCATCAACAATTGGAATATGAATAGATTGTGCCCATATGAACATGTCTATTCTCAAACTAATGTGTAGTTAATTTGTTATTGAACTTGAGAGGGCTTTTAAAGTGAAGTAGAATTTTGAACAATTAACATTGGAACTAAAAAGTAAGCAGAAAGGTAATTTATAATGAAGATAATTGGCCAGTCAGCAAAAAACTATGTTTTGATGTTAAAAGATTCTATAGAGAGAAGTAGCCTTCAGTTAAATATGTCAACCAAAAAAAAAAAAAGCCAAAACAAAACAAAACACCAATTAGGTTAGGACCAAAGGTAAGGCACAGGCTGGCAGTAGGGAGATGGATGCTCACTGATTTATGGATTTAGGCTATGATTATAAGGTTTTTTTTCCCTGCAGAATATCACAAAATCAGATGATGGGACATTCAGTCTGAATTGGTGGAAGGATTGAATTAGATAATTTTATTGAAGTAAAATTCACATAACATGTAATTTCTCATATTAAAGTGCATGATCCAGTGGCTTTAAGTATATTCACAACATTGTGCAACCATCAACACTATCTAGTTCCAAAATAGTTTGTTTCCCCCAAAAAGAAGCCCCATACCTATTAAGCAGTCACTCATCATTCCTCCCTCCTCTCTGGATTTGTCAATTCTGCACACTTCATATAAATGTAATCATACAGTATGTGGTCTTTTGAGTCTGGCTTGTTTCACTTAGCATAATGTTTTTAAGGTTCATTCATGTTATAGCACATATCAATACTTAAGTCCTTTTTATGGCTGAGTAATATTCCATTGTATGAATGTACCATGTTTTGTTTAGCTATTCATCTATATCTGCATATTGGTTATTATAAATATTGCTGCTGTGAACATTCATGTATAAGTTTTTGTTTAAACACCTGTTTTCAATTATTTTGGGTATATACCTCAGAGTGGAATTGCTGGGTCATATGGTAAGTCTATGTTTAACTTTTTGAGGAGCCATTAAACTGTTTTCCCTAGCAGCTACCCCACCTTACATTCCCACCAGCTATGTATGAGGGTTCCAATATATCCACATGTTGGACAACTCTTTTCATTTCCTTTTCTAAAAAAAAAAAAAGTCATTCTACTGGGTATGAAGTGGTATCTCATTGTGATTTTGATTTACATTTCCAAAGTGACTAATAATGTTAAGCGTTTTTTTGATGTGCTTATTGACCATTTGTATATCTTCTTTAGAGAAATGCCTATTCAAGTTCTTTGCCCATTTTTAAATTGTTTTTGTTATTGTTGTTGTGGGTGAGTTGTAAGAGCCCTTTATATATTCTGGATACTAGACCCTTACCAGATATATGATTTGCAAGTATTTCCTCCTATTCTGTGAGTTGTCTTTAAACTCTATTCAAGAGAACAAAATTGGTCAAAATTTTAAACATTTTGTAAGGTTTAATTTATTACTTTTTTTCTTTTGATACTTATGCTTTTGAGTCATATCTAAGAAACCATTGCCAATATAATATCATGAAGGTTTACCTCATTTTCTTCTAAGAGTCTTAGCTCTTATATTTAGGTCTCTAGTCCATTTTGAGTTATTTACATATAGTGTGAGATATGGTCTACATAACTTCATTCTTTTGTATATGACTGCCCAGTTATCCCAGCACCATTTGTTGAAAAGGCTATTCTTCCTTCCATTTAATGGTCTTGGCACGCTTGGTGCAAATAAATAGATGAATGGGTTTATTTCTGGACTCTCAGTTCTGTTCCATTCCTTATGCCAGTACTGCGCTGTCTACTTACTGTAGCTTTGTAGTAAGTTTTAAAATTTATTTTATTTTTAATTTAAAATTTTTATTGATGAGAGAGATGGAGAGAGAGAGCGAGAGAGAGAGAGAGAGAGAGAGAGAGAGAGAGAGAGTTGTTGTTGTACTTATTTATGCATTCATCGGTTTATTCTTGTATGTGCCCTAACTGGGGAACCCATAACTTTGTATCAGGATGATGCTCTAGCCAACTGAGCTATCTGGCCAGGGCCAGGTGTATTGTTGACTGAACTACATTTTACTGGGTCTAGAAACATGACAGAAGGGGAAAAATACTAAAATGTGTTTTATTTTTCCAAAGAGCAGCCTTATCCCAATGAACAAAAAAGAAATGTCCAGAACCCCTATCAACCAGTGCTACGGACCCCTTCCCCTGGCCTAAGGCCTAATCCTGATTCCTTCCCCAGAAAGATTCAAGGTTAGTAGGCGCCAGGCCTGGTACATCTCACAGATGTTGAGGTGAAAGGACCTTATTTAACTCCAGCTGTTAACCAGAAGTTGTCTGTGCCAACCTCCCTGGAAAACACAGGAGAAAGAATGAAAACATTTTACATTGGGTACATAGAGGGCGTTTTGGTTCTCAGCATGCAGGGACGGAGGAGTGGGTTGCAGGAGGGGTGCGGGAGGAAAAGTAGAGAAAGGAATCCCATTTCCTTCCCTCAATTTTCTTTCAGAAACCTGCCAGAAAAGGATTCCGTTTGCTTTTCCTGAATAGCTCATAAAATCCTATGGTTGGCTCCTGTGGTAACTTTTCTAGGTTTCTCCTAACCAATATGGCTAAGGGAAAAGGTAGGGCCTTAGAAAGAACCCTACTTCCCAAAGGGGTTTCAGATATTTCTGGTTTTTGTTTTAAGGGAACTGATAGTTAATCACTTGGCCTTCAAAGGGGCTTCTGCTAACACAAATATCTGGAGATTCTTAGGAATGAGAGGTGCTCTGGGGTGCATCTTTGAGGTGTGAAAAATGCTATGTCAGGAATCCCAGAGGATACTTTTTTTGAATCCCCTACAGAGGAACCCAACTAGGAGCTCCAGGATCAGATAGTTTGCAGAGGTGGAAGCTAGCCATAATGAGGACAAGGTGACATGCTCCATACCCACACCATTCGGGGTGGGAGCACGCAGTTCCTCAGGGTGCTCCCATCAACTTTGTATCCATTCACAGTAATATAAGTAAAGGTAGTGTGTTGTTTATGTAAACTTAGCTTATAGGCCTCTTCCAACCTGATTTTCTGCCCTCCACTGAGCCTGCTTATAGAGAAATACCAGAATGCTGATGGGTTTTACTGACACCAATTGTGCCTTCATTCCAATCAGCTCCTCCTGTTAATAAAACAGGGGTACAGCCCTGAAGTGATGGTGCAAACATAACCAGAACATGCCTACCAGCAATAATAAATAAATAAATAAATAAATAAATAAAAACAGGGGTACAAGGCAAGAGAACATGCACACCCTGTCACCTTGTTAACTCCATTAAGTGGTTGGGCTCCTGTCCCAAGGGCAAAGGGGAGCCACTGAATACTTTCTAAGTAGAGGAGCAACCTGAACTTCTTGTTTCTTGTTTTCACCTGCCAGGGAACAATCAGATTTTGTTCCCCGTGCCACTAATGAGCCTATTGACCTGAAGTGTCAATATTCCTGTAGTAAAAAGAGACAATTGTTCATGAAGGATTTCTGCTTTAGGAATTCTTCAGTCAGAGGGATGTCCAACTTTGGAGACCAGGGATAGTGTATGGAGTTGACTCATTTCTTTTCTTCCACTTTCTTCAGAGCTCCTTTGAGCCCTCATCTATACCCATGCGTGCACAGTCCTTGACAACATTTGCCACGCTCACCTCTCCCAGCAGTCCCCAGCTATCCGTTAGTTTCAGCACCCCAGCTACCACCCAGGGCTGTTTGGATTCTTCAGCTGCTCGACACAAGATGGCTTTAAACCCCCGAAAACAAAAGAAGTACCTTCAAGCGACTGTAAGTCCTTCAAGAGGCCTGGGAATAAACTCCGATGTGACTAAGGATGAGTTCCAAGCTTTGCAAACTACACCTAGGGAAGTGGTATGATTTGGAGGATCCATAGCCTAAGTAGAGGTGGTAAAGTCAAGGGTACTGTCCCAGGATTTACACCCCCAGGGAGGTGACCAAACTTAAATTTAGTGATTGGGATGTCCTATGCATGTGGAACTGACATAAAAGAGACTGAAGAAAATAGAAACAGTAATCTAAATTCCTAGAAACTGCTTATTGTATTAGCATCAGGAATTCACTCAACTCTTTTTGTAGAGGATATTCAACCATAGCCCCAAATTAGGATTCTTTTAATTATTAATCAAGTAAGACCCATGTGTTACAAATTGCAGCACTGTTCCACTCATTTGGGATAACTCAAAGCATTCAAAACTCAGCTATTAACACCCCCACCCCCCCACCCCAGGATCTCTCAGTATCACATTGATGTCACAAATTACTGTTTACGACTTTCAAGCAGGTAGAGCTACACTTAGTGAGCCAATTCTGTTAAAAACATGGCCATAGTTCAGATTCAGAGATCTGACAGCAAGGAAAAGTAACAGTTGATAGCAGAGAGGGGCCATTTAGTATAGGGATCAAGAACCTTGCCCACCTTTATAAGTCCCTCAGGGCCACACTGTATCATAATCCAATGTAATAGGTCATGTTCATTATTTGCCCGAGTCATCAAGAAAAGTTAAACTATGTTCCTTGATCCCTGTTTAGGAAGGTAGGAAAGTAATGTCTTTGGGAAAGATTTTTATTAAAAGCTAAGAATTAAATATGCTAATGTTTATAAGGATGTGCCAGTTAGCTGGAAGATTGATTCACTTTGGTCAAACAATAATTTCTCAGTGACAGTGGGCTATAAGTGTAGGGCTGTAAATCAAAGCTGAAAGAGTCTAAACGATTTCATAGTTTTAGTATTTTACAGGAAGGAAACTAAAGCACAAATAGTTGCCCAAAGTCAAACACTCTATTGGTGGCAGAGCTAAGGTCAGAACCCAGTCTTCTGACTTCCAATCCAGTACTCTTTTCACCCCACCATGTTGCTCCTTGATTAGACATCTCAATTTAGCTTTAGAAAAAGAACAAATACAACTTGAAAGAACAGTAGGCAGGACAGCAGGCCCAGGGGGTCTCTGGTGGACCTGAGAGAATTTCCTTGGTACAGTGTCAAGCAGAGGATCACCAATTACTACGCACTAAACCCTGTGTATGCATTATCATCTTGACCCGTCACAAACCTGGGAGATGGGGAATGTTGGTTAAGGGAAACTTAGTGTGACCCTTCTGACTTCCTTCTGCATCACCTAATTGAGGAAAGACCTGGGTATCACTCTTTAAAAAGACTGGAACATCTACTTCTTCATTCTGACTCTCTACCTGACATTCAAATGAATATAAATGGGTATAGGATCATATATGACACAGAAGCTGCTGCCACTTGCTCTCTGCTTTAGAATTTCTTAGGTCTTCAAGTCCCATAGGAGGTTTCCCTTATCTCTAATTTATAGATATGGGCACGGAGATTTAGAGAATAACTTGCCCAGGGATCCACAGAGAGTAAATGATGGAGCAGAGATTTGAACCCAGGTCTCTGACCACATTTACTCAGAAATAATTTTGAATTGAGCCTCACAGGCATGTCAAGTGGGAACATAAGGAGTTGTATTTTTGTCTTTAGATGCATGTCTTAAAGGCTTACGTTAAGCAAATTCTGGACACTGTTCAATACAGTGCTACTCTGACATGTCTAAAGCTGCACTGTAATTATCTGAAAACCTTGTTTATTCTAAACCACTTTTAACCCCTTCAGTATAAATGCTGAACCCTTCATCTTGTCCTCTCTTCCTTCCCAACAAAAACCCTGATCCTCTTTCTTCTTTTGAGCTGGAAAGACATAATTCATGTTCTCACTAAATTTCCTGGGGATGAAAAAGCCAAACAGGATTTGAATTTGGCTCCCAGGTGTGATGAAGCGAATTTAATAATTCCAATGTTGCCAAGAATATGATTGTTGTCAGGCCCAATACCCCATTTTCAGATTTATTGCCCAGCAGTGTGTTTCAGTGGTTTTAGAGAGATCTCTGCAGCATATCTCTAAGAGATTAGACACTTCAAAGGTAGGTGAACCACTTCCAATAGGTAAAATGATCACCAGGTGATGAATGATATTGGAAATAATTTTCATTGTTAATGGTATTGTTATGTTCCCAGCAGAGCCATTTGGATATCAGAGATGTTTTTTCCTGATTTTTCCCCCTTTGGCAACCATATAGGGATGGGTGAGCACCTTAGTCTTATTCAAGCTCTTTCTTCTCTCTTTTAGATCAAGCCAAAGCAGGAAGAGCCAGGCCTCCCACTGGTTTCTGAAGAGAAAGCCAAACCAAAAGCAGTTACCCAAAAGAAGCTGAAAGACAGTGCAGGTTGGCACACTTCACCCTCACCCAGAAGCATGTACCACAAGCTTAATTGCACAGTGCTATGTGATGGGAGTTACCCAGGCCAGCTGTCCTTGGTCCTCAGAGAGCTTTCAATTTAAGATGCATACTAATGTGGTCCAGGTTTCTCCATCTAAACTGCTTAATTAATACAATTGCCACTTGCAGAGGGCTCATACTGGATCCCTCTTTTGTCTAAATCCGTGGTTGGTAAACTGCGGCTCACGAGCCACATGCGGCTCTTTGGCCCCCTAAGTGTGGCTCTTCCTAAGCCTTAGGAGTACCCTAATTAAGTTAATAACAATGTACCTACCTATATAGTTTAAGTTTAAAAAATTTGGCTCTCAAAAGAAATTTCAATCGCTGTACTGTTGATATTTGGCTCTGTTGACGAATGAGTTTGCAGACCACTGGTCTAAATGAATTTAAAACCAGAGGTGGTTTGTGTTTGTGAGTTTCTTCAATCCTCTCTAACTCTACTGTACCTGCTGAGTTCCTTAGTGAGCTCAGATATTTGAGGGCAGCCAATAATTTCCCTTCAGCATTCCCCCTCAGCAACAGAACCAGATAATAATTACAGAATTGTCCCCAAACTAGTTTTTTTTAAAAAAATATTTTTATTGATTTCAGAGAGGCAAGGAGAAGGGAGAGAGAGATAGAAACATCAATGATGAGAGAGAATCATTGATCGGCTGCCTTCTGCACGCCGCACAGTGGGGATCGAACCAGCAACTGGGCATGTGCCCTGACTGGGAATGGAACTATGACCTCCTGGTCTACCACTGAGCTATGTCAGTCAGGCCCAAAACTAGTTTTTTAAAGTTGCTTTTCTCTTCCTGTAGAGAAGTGGTTCCTGCACATGCCCCACAGGGGGGTAATTTGATTTTTAAGGGGGGCAATTTGATTTTTAAGGAGGGCAATTTGAGAATGAGTTATTAACAGTGAACTTTTTGCATTTCTTATGGTTCTAGGGGCCTAATATACAGTATATAAATATATATTGTGACATATTTATGCATTTCAGCTCTCTATTGTATGTTTTGAAACTTTATTTGCTATTTTTTCATGTCACTACATATTATTATTTTTTAAAAACAATTTCTTAGTGATTTCTTCCTTAGTACTACAACTGTCCTTTTTTTAAAAAAAAATTTTCTCTTTCATGGATGCCATGTTCCTTGAAAGCTTGTTTAGACCAAGTTAATTTCCTTATAGGCTTCCTCCACATTAATAGGAGTTGACTTTTTGAATAATAAAGAATTATATGTCACGGCCGGGGGGAGATCAGGATTTTAGAGATGCTTAGGTGGGGCATGGCCCAAAAAAGGTTGGGAACCACTGCTGTAGGGAGAAAAGGTCTTGCATTAACAGTGAGAGCAATTCCCATATCCATGGGCAAAGAGGGCTAGGGCAGCTGCAGACAGATGTCTTTTATAGTTGACACCCACCAAATCCCCAAATAATACCATGGGAGTGAAAATCTCTCTGTGTGTGTATAGGTGGATGTTGGCTCCAGCTGATGGCAACCTCATTTCAAGCAATACTTGATAAAACAAAATCCCAGTTCCATAAATTAAGTCAAACAATTATTTCATATTTTTCCACAAAGGAGTTCAAAGATAGGATATTCCTAAACAATTTTTTTCATGGAAACTAACAAAACTGTTCTGCAGAGAGAGAAAAACAGAGAAAGAAATGAGTAATTCCTTTTTACTTTCTTTTTATTGTTTTTTTTCATATTTACTTTTAATATTTGTCCTTTTATGCACAGAGGATAGAACTGATTCAGTGTTGATGGGGGCAGATACTGATTGGATTTGCACATAATGGGAATAGTTTGGAGTGAACCCAGCTATGCTCAGTGCTATATGCTGGATATGAAGCCACCAGATGGAGCTAGGGATGCAATGGATGACGGGGGAGGGAAGGCAGTGAGGGTTTTCCCACCTGGGCATCAAGCTGAATTCCTTAGTAAAAAATATAGTGAGGAGCTCAGCTGGTGTAGTTCAGTGGTTAAGCATTAACCCAGGAACCAAGAGGTCATGGGTTCGATTCCCAGTCAGGGCATATTATATGAAAATTAAGTAGAATTAAGTAGAAAATACAAATACTAATTAGAAAGTAAAATTTCCCCTTGCCTTGCTCCAGTTGGTTTCCTAAAAGATAATCATTCCTGCAAGTTCAAAAATTGTCTTTTGATGTGTCTCACTCCTAATGGTGGGCAATAATGATATAATGATAATGAACCAACCTTAGAATCAGTTTATAAAACTGGGATTTTACTTCACTTTTAGTGACCAGTTTCTCTAGCTTCTGATTAGCTACTTCTTCATGCTAGAAAATTCAATACCAAATAGGTACCCATTAGGCCAAGGCAAATTGTTCTTATTTTAGGAAGTCAAAAACACACATATTTTTCCTTTTCTTATTTCTATCTGGTACAGGCCCCTCAATTCAGGAACAGAGCATCAAAACTGAGATTTATAAGACAACAGACCAGGCTGCAAATGCAGATGCTGTTGAGAGTCCAGACTACTCATGGCCAGCAGCATATGGGAGACAGTGTGGAAAAAAAGAATCAAGTGCTTCAGAAAAGAATGAGTGTGGATCCAAAGCATGCGGCTTTATACAACCTAGTCGAAGGCCTGGCTTAGGTAATAGAGCTGGGTACTCATCTGCTGACAAGATTGCCAGGGATAGCCCTTTCTGGCGCTTTTCCTTGGAGAGACAAGTCGTGAAGCAGCCCAGAGCTCCACAAGTAGAAACCACTACTCCTCATGAGTTTCTTTCAGATGAAAATGACATGGGAAGGAGAATGGCTGGTTTAGATTTTAAAACAGGAAAAGCATCGTTATCATGTCTCAGACCTAAAGACATGAAAGAGTCCATGGCTAGTGGTCCATCACAATACCACGAAGATGGAACTAAGAAGTCAGAAGCCGTAACTTCTCTTTCATCAGTGGTGGAAAACCCTTATACAAGCCAAGAAGTTATCATGTTTTCAGTGACAGAGAAGGCTCAGGTGTGTATGGATCCTTCTCATATTCAGTCAGAAGAGGATGCTTCCAGCTTTGATTCAAAAAATGACCAATTTGAAATGAAGTCAGCTCAAGATAACTCAACTATCTATAAAGAAACACCTTCTGGAAATGTCATTCAGGCCTTTCCAGCAAGTGTTTTGGACATGGCAAGTGCTTTGCCAGAGGGAGGAATTTCTGTAAAGAGGATGCCTCCCAGAAGCCTTTCCCAATCTTTGGAGAAGCCAGAAGCTGAAGAAGTCTCCTCATATTCAGATATTGTTTCAGGGGTGGAAAGTGGTTCTGATCAGCAGCTGACTCCTGGATATGTTTTCCAGTCTTCAAGGAAGCCCAAAGATGAAGAATTATTCTCAGATTCAGAGAGTGCTTCTTCAGAGGAGGGCAATGGTTCTGAACAGAAGCTGGATCCCGAATATTCTTTCCAGTCCATGATGAAGTCCAAAGATGATCAAGAAACCTTCCCAGATTCTAACAGTTTTCTTGGGAACTTATGCAGTTCTCATGAACAGCTGGCTCCCAGATGTGCTTCCCAGGCTTTGGAGGAGCCTGAAGACAAAGTGCCCACAGAATCAAATAGGAATTCTCAAAAATACAGTAATCCTTATGATTGGAGCAGTTTTGAGGAAGACATGCCTCCCAGACATCCTTCCCCAGCCTTGGGGACGCCCACAGCCCAACAGGAAATCTCAGTTTCAAAGAATACATTTGAGGATGAGTTGGTTGTATCTGTGGAGCAGACTCCTCCCAGACACCTTCCTCAGCCCTCTGTGAAGCCATCTGTTCAGCAGCAACTCTCCTCAGGTTCAGCAAATGCTTTTTCAGATTGGGTGTCAACGCCTCCCATGAACTTTTCCCATCACTGGCTGAGCCCTAAATCCGAGGAAGAAGCCTCTGCAGGTCAAGAAAATATTGCTCTTGAGTGGGGCATTTTTATGGAGCCGCTGCCTCCCCGAGTGCATTCAAGGCGCCTGATGAAGCGTAAAGTTGAGCAACCAATCTCCTCAGGGTCAGAAATTGCTACTATTGAAGGGATCATGTCTACAGAGCTGACGCCTTCAAGAAATAATTCTCAACCCCCAGTGAAACCAATAGCTGAACAAGAAATCTCTGCAGGTCCAGAGAGCACAGCTGTTAAGGGGAGCATTTCTATGGAGCCTCCTTTTCCTAACGTTTTTGCCCAGCCCATAATGAACCCAAAAGTTGAACAAAATGTGTTCTTAGGTTCAGAGGGTGCTGATAAGGCCATTTTAGTGGAGCTAACACTCCCTGAATGCTCAACAAATCCTCAAGACCAGCATGTCTTCTCAGAGAACACTGCTGATAATAAGGACATGTTTGTGGAATCCCTGCCTCCAGACTACCCTGTCCAGACATTGGCGAAGCTTAACTTCCAGCCACAGACTATTTCCAGCGACCCAGGGAGTGCTTCCACAGAATGGAGTGATCCTGTGGAGCTGATGCCTCCCAGACACACAATGGGCTCCTGGGTGAGCACCAGCTTTGAACAACCCTCTGCAAGTCCAGAGAGCACTGCTGTGGAGTGGGGAAACCCTACAGAGCCACTGCTTCCCAAAATGCTTTCTCAGTCCCTAAGGAGACCAGTTGCTGAGCAAGAAGTCTTCTCAGGTTCGATGAGCGCTTCTGAAGAATGGAGTGGTCTTGTGCAGCCGAAGTCTTCTCTATACACTTTGCAGCACTGGGTGAGCCCTAAATTTGAGCAACAAACCAATGAAGGTCCAGAGCCTTCACAGTGTAGCATGAAATCAGTAGTCAACCAACCAATCTCTGCAGGTCTAAAGAGTGTTGCCATTGAGGGGGACACTTCTACAGAGATGCTGCCTCCCAGACATTGGTCCATTGTGAGACATAAAATCCAGAAAATGATGCCAACTTCTGAGAATGCTGTTGTTGGGTGCATTTCTGAGAGGCCACTGCCTATCGAATATCCCACCCACTTCTCAAAGCCTAGCATTCAAGAAATATCCTTACATCCAGAGAACACTGCTGTTGAAGGAGGCATGTCTAAGAAATCACTACATCCCAAGTGTCCTCAGTCATTTGTGAAATGTATGGCACAGCATGTCTTTTCAGAGAGCCCTGATATGGAGGAGCAGGTTTATGTGGATCCTCTGTCTTCTAATCAACCTTCCAAATATTTGTTGAAGCCTACAGTTGAGCACCAAGTTTTCTCAGGTTGTGAGAGTGCTGATATTGAGGGAGACATTTCTTCAAAGGTGGTGCCTGCAAAATGCCCTTTACAGTCCTCGGGGAGGCTTGAAGACCCACAAGGAGTTTTCTCATATTCAGAAAATGCTCCTGTTAAGTGTAGCTATCCCCAAGAGCAGCTGCATCCTGGATACCTTTCCCAGGCATGGGGGAAGATTAAGTATGAGCAAGAAGTCTCCACAGTTTCTGAGAGCTCTCTTAAAGAATGGAAGAGTTCTGAAGAGCAGCTGCCTTCCAGATGCCCTATCCAAGCTGAGGATGGGGGTGAATTCCAGCCACAGATGTCCTCATCAGGCTCAGTCAGTGTACCTGTAGAGAGGAGCAGTGCTGAGAATCGGCTGCCTCCCAGACACCCTTTTCAGGCTTTTGCAGACCCTCAATATAAGCAACAAGTTTATTCAAGTTCCATGAGTACTGCTGCCAAGGGAATCATTGTTGAGCGCAATCCTAGCGGCCAGGCCCTCCCAAGAGGTCCAGCTTCTCCAAGCAAAACTAGGGGACACAGCCAAGACTCTGAAGACCTCTTTAAGAACATTTTGACTCCTGATACCAAATCTGTGAAGTTCGCCCTTGATCCTGCCTGGCCACCATCCACTTCTGGGGACACTTACACTAAGGAGGATGTTCTCGAGAGTAGTGATCAAAATAATGACTATTCAAATTTATCCAACAGTGAGGCTGATGTTGAAAACCTCTTTGGAGTTCAACTGAAGAGAATCCCTTCCTCAGAGAAGTACAAGAGTGAGGAACAAAACCATTCTACCAAGCTTCCTTCACTCTCCTTAGGCCCAGTTTCATCTTACACAGACAGAGAACCACAAATCATAAGTGCTTCCCAAGGGCTCCTGGGCATCTCCAAGAACCTTACCACAACATCTGACATTGCAGAGAAGCAACAGAGCAAGCCCCAATCTGATAGCATGCTCAAGAAGAAACCTGATTACAAGATCCCAGGTGAGACTATCTTTCCAGATGGCAGTTAGATACCAAGTGGAGGGAGGAACTGTAAATCAGTCTTGAATGGGGAGAAGTCTGTTCTAGCCTTGCCTGCTGAGTTTTTCCTTTGATAGGGCTGGCTTGTTGATTTAGGGGCAGGATAGTGCCCCATTCTAGATTAAGGGATTCTTTAATGGACACATGACCATCTTCCCATTCCCTCTCTCCCACCCTCTGTATACTTTACATTTGGATAAAATGTTATGATTTTCTCAAAACACTTTTACATGTTTTGAGAACACACACCACACACACTCACACACACCATGTGGATTTTTAAAGACAGCTCATTAATAGAACACTATGTTCAGACTCTCAGCTTGAAATCTTAATTTACTGTAAGTGGTTGTACTTCCAGAGCTTCTTCCCTCACTTGAAATGTCTAAGAATTCAGATCGAGGTGACCTTTTGAGCACTAATCTCTCATAAAGACTTTGCATCTTCCAACTCACCATCACATAGTCATGTATATGCCTATAACCACACCCATGTACCTACACACTTGCATAAGGATCTATGAAGTAACAAATGCTGTAAGCATTTCCTTGGAGTTAGAGGATTGGCATTAATGGTCAATGACCTGAACCTCTGGCCTCCTAGGAATTTTTCCAACCCACCTGGCAACCATTGTCCTATCATGATTTGGAGATAGGAAGAGGGATGGACAAGGAAGGGAAAGGTACCAGTAAGAGAACAGTATGTAAACTTTGAAGTACAGCTTCTTATCTACCCAAAGAACTCCTTCCTTACTAGGTTTTGTGGAGGGTAAAAAAGAAGGGGGCTTTTCTCTATGTGAGATCTATTTATTTTCACTGGGCAATTCACAAGGATCCCATTGGGACATTATTATGGGTAGGCCCCAGCCAGCCTCAAGACTCTGCCTGCCTTGCTTCAGTTCTAACTCCTTTAATTCCTTTCTCAGGGAAGGCTCCTGGTAAACTATCAGGTTATGCCACCTTAGACCCATCTTGGATAACCAGGGTCAAGCAGAAGCAGAAGAATTCCCTGACCCAGCTTCCTACGCAAGAGCTGAATAGAGCTGCAGCAAAGGCTGACATCAAGGTGCCTACATATGAGGTAGGATCTGGGGAAGCCCACAAAACACTCCCACAGGTTGCACTGGAAACTTTTCCAGGCATACATCTCCCCACTTCTTTGGTTGCATTAATCAAGACAGGAGGACTGCAAAGGAAAAGATTTGCTTTGTACTCAAACAAATGTGCCCCGCTTTGTGCTCTTAAAGAGTGTGTGAAAGTAATGAATGTGAAAAGATTCTATAAATCAAATCCTGTCCTAAACATTCTAAAGCAGATTCCATGAAATTGGTTGAGAAATAAGGAGTAAGTCACAAAAATCCCAAAAGATTTTTTATGACTAGAGTGAAAGTTTTTTATGACAGGGGTGAAAGTTGAAGAACTATTCTTACAGATATTTTACACACACACACACACACACACACACACACACACACTAAGTTAGATCAGCATGGAGAGGTTAATTTGAAAAGCTTACACTAGACAATTTTGAAAGGACCTATAATTATATTATATTCTAATGCAAGGAGTGCAAGTCAGATGACAACAAGTTTTGCTCAATAGAAATTCTATGGAACTCACTTCAGTTAATTGATAAAACTTGTTTGTAACCACCACATTCTGTTAGTTTGCTGTTAAGTGCTAGGGAAAAGGTTGTTCTCAAGACAAATAATTCTCATGTCAACCTGTTTACACTATTTGTGTGATTAGACAACCTTTTTTCCAGATCTGAAAAGTGGTAAACTTGAACCAGCTTAGGGTTGTGAACCTAAATTCTGAACCAAGGGAGCTCTCACTGCTATTTCTTTCCTTATCTTTTTCTATCTCTATCACTCCATATCTTTCCTTTTTATTAATTTTGGCCTCATAATACCCAAGGACAGGGCTTATACTGTGATCATCTGAATAAGTAATTAGCTGTTTTCATGTTAGGCCTTACAAGCTTCCTGTTTTCATTTTTGTATTAAAGGGAGCTGACCTTGCAAAACAAAGCCAACAAAGAGAGATTTCCACTTCCAATGTCGATGGACAGGAGAAGAAGGCACAGATGAAGTTACCTGACTCCATCAAAGCAGGTAAAAACACTCAAGTAACCCCCTCCCCCAAACAGCCCTGGAAGAATGCTGTGAAACTCTTGCATTTTCAAGCTCTGACAATATATATCTTCCCACCTCCAACTCCAAATCAGCTTCATGAGTCTCTCATGGCTCTTCCATTAGGTAAAGATATTTACTTGTTTTAGGAAAATCCAATCATTATGGCTGTTATAAGTCCAGTGTATAACTTTCAGAATAGCTTCCATTTTTTTACCCTATTGAGGAAATTTTGTAGGTACAAAATTATGATCATGTACTAAAATGTTTCTGAGGCTAGTATTCAAGAGGAAAGAACCAAGTTACTTTTCAGTTCATAGCAAAGGAGTGTGTTCTCATCTTCTCTATTTCCAATGAAACTATTAAGAATAATCCACTCTAAAGACCAAATGGTATTGAATTGTTTTTTTAAACTATTTAAAAGGCTTGTTTTAGCCCCTCTGTATTCTAAGCAGAGGTATGAGAGGTGGGTGAAATGTTGAAAGTGGAAAAAAACATTATGATGGAATAGAATAGAATGTGATTTCATCAGCAGAGTTATATGCCAGAGAGTTGTTGCTACTGTTTTCAGCAAGAACAAGGGCCCAGTACAATGGATTTATATTGAATTATCTTTGTCCTTTTCTTTAGTCCCCCTCATGAAGAATTAGACTCCGAATTTGGTAATCCATTGTCTGGCCATAAAATAGTAGCACCTGACCTGCTCATAGTTATTAATAATCTCATGGACACTATATTCCTGCCAAGTGTTTCTCAAGTCACTGTTTTAGAAAGCTCACTGGTAAGCTTTTAGGGGTAGGAGAGGCTGGGGGAAGGTCAAGGAGGGAAAAAAAGGAGACAAATGTACTACTCTTTGTAATATTTTAAGCAATTAAAAAATTAAAAAAAATTACAGATGGTCTTGGCTCCATTGCTAAAAATCCTAATTCAGTTAGTTCAGGAAATGACATAAGCTTTGGTATTTTTATTGATTTATTTTTAAAGAATAGTTTATTGATTTTTAGAGAGAGATAGAAACATCAATGTGAGAATGCAGCATCCATCAGCTGCTTCCTGCATGCCCCCGCCAGGGATTGAGCCAGCAACCTAAACATGTGCCCTGACTGGGAATTGAACTGGCAACCCGTTGGTGCACTGAACGATGCCCAACCAACTGAACCATGCTGGCCAGGGCTGGGCCTTTGTATATTTAAAAAGCTCTAGGAAATTCTAATGTGTAGCCAGGGTTGAGAAGCACTGATTGAGTATAAGCCACCAAATTAATCAACCATAAAACAGGATGAGGAAAGGAGTAGATTTGGGGAATAGGGAGGTAAGTCTGCTTGGTCAGAGTAGTTGGTACAGTGTTATTTAGCATAGACTTTTACAGAGTTGAGCTACTTTATCATCATTTATGTCACACAACATCATAGATTAGCGAAAGAAAAATAATATTGGAAATTTAAAAAACTGAAGATACCATATAATATGATTTTTCTCTGATCTAAATTCAAAAGTATAAGCCAATCCAGTAATAACCACCCAAACATTGGCAGTTACAGCTGTAAGCATTTTTCTCTCAGACGTTCCCTTGTCCACATCCCTGTGCCATAGCCATATTGATTTTACCCCTTTGCCATACCACCCATTGCATTTTCCATGCATTAAGTTTTAGAAAACAGAATAAACATGAAAGAAGGAAAATTTTACTGTATTCTTTAAACATAGCTCAGTACCTCTAGGGCTTCTTACTGCTTGTGTGTTATTTGCTGTGGTTCCAGCAGGATATGAAAATGAGAAGATAATTCAAGTGCTTGCCATGAGAAAAGAAACCAGAAAACCTTCAGCTGACCCAGCCATGTTCCAAGAGCCAGATGAGCCAATTTGGTTCTCCATGGCCAAGGAGAAAGCCAAAGCATGGAGCCATATAACAGAAACCATGTAATAAATAGCTCCTGGGTGGAGCATCAGCATTTCAAATGATAATTGCCAAGAGCTTTATTAATGCTATGCACTGAATTATTTAGATATGTAACCATTTTCTAATAAGCAAAAAGCCTTATAATGGTAATTAAAGCTAATAATTATGTGAGCGAGACAAATGCCACAAATGCCTGATGTTTAGTTCAGCCATTGCCAGCATCTGAAAATCCAGCATTTCCTCTATAAAAACTATGTAAAATATTTGCGGTACTATAGAATTTTGAAATCTTTAATGTTGGACATGGTGTTTCAGAAGGGCAAAAGCAAAAACATTTTGTTGGAGCAACTAAGATAGGGGTCATTTCCCTTAATCAAATAAATTAATTCTAGTGGAAATGTCCAGATCATTTGGCCCAAGGATTGGCTTTTAGGTTTATGAGCCTAGTTAAGTACTTTAGTTTTTGGTTGCTGCTCTAAGCTTTACCAAGGCCCCTAGAAGAGGTGGTGGAAGTGAAAATCCTGGGTCTCCAAGAAAAATTTTGCACAGCTCACCCCTCAGTCAGCACATTGCCCTTTAAAACACCTTTGTATACCTGGGAAATCTCAATGCCTGCAATTTATTCAGAGCTCTCTCTTTACACATTCACCATATCAATTTGTCACAGGTCTGGCAGCAGTGAGTACCTTCCTGTGAGGCAGAATATTTCTTGGAGATTATCATGCTCCTCTGGATGGTTAGTTCACCAGTCTTTGACTGCTTTCCCCAGTGCCACTGCGACCCTCTCCAGTTGCTCAGAAGTGTACTAGATATCATATATATCCTGTTTGTTGTTGTTGTTAATCCTCAACCAAGGATATTTTCCATTGATTTTTTTAGAGAGAGTGAAAGGGGTGGGGGAGAAAGAGAGAAACATCAATCTAAGAGAGACACATTGGCAGTTGCCTCCTGCATACGCCCCTACCAGACCAGGGATGGAGCCTGCAACCGAGGTACATGCCCTTGACCGGAATCCAGTCCGAGACCCTTCATTCCATGGGCAGACACTCTATCCTCTGAGCCAAACTGGCTAGGGCCATATCCTATTTTATAAGCACTAAAGACCCTGTTGAAATTCAAAATTCTGTAGATGCCAAAACATATACGTTTAGTCAAAATACCTTCCATGAAGGAAGTCTGGGGCCACTGGAGAGATACCTTACCCCCTGGCTCCAGATTGAAGGTGAAGACCCCTGCATAGCCTAGTTTCTTTTCCCTTTCCCTCAGAAAACTCTGTTTCACAAGATTTTAGCCCAAAGCAAGACTGCCATAGAACAGTTAAATTTCTGGTAACTGGAAGCCTTGAGTGATTAAATCAGCCTCTTCCTGCCCTCTTTCCTGAAGACACACACCTCAAAAGTTTCACAGCCCTCACCTCCTCAGTGAGTGACTCACCCTTCCCTCCTATTCCATTCTCCAAATATACCAAACACTAAGGGGGAGCTCCATTTGGATGCCTGCACAGCATCTAGCTCATTTTCTTAGGAGACCCAGAAGTGTCTTATTATAACTTTCACTGTGTCTGTCTCTACCACTTCGGGGCTACTTTGTTTAAACAGAAATGCAGGGATAGATACAACTGCACCTTTAAGTTCTGAGTGGGATGTTGCTTCATGGAAAAGAAATTCAGATGGGCAGTGAGATGCTAGAGCTAATTTAAATGCTTTCAGTGCTTGTTTTGCTGATGGTACAGTGTGACATTGTATAATCATATGCTGGATTTTGCATTTTCTCTATAAAACTATTTTTCCTGGTATTGTATCTTTATCCTTTTGATAATGTTAGGTTTTTGATTGATTTGGTTTGATTTCCTTTGTATTCCCATAGTGAATAGTTCATTAAGATAGATATCCTTTACCCAGGTAATCATGTAGATAAGTTGCTATACCTCTCTCCTCCCTTTTCTCAGGGTGGACCACTATTAGGTTATTCTCACTCTAAGAACACTCCATTAACAATTTCTTTTCCACAGGAAATAACAAAACTCTGTTTTAAAGTAGATGTTTTTTTTAATGCCTGTAGACACATTTTGACAAGTTTTCAGTTTTTAGCATTTTTGATTTTGGCTATATGCAAAGCAAATAAAATAAATAAAGCTTGTTCTGTAGTTGTCTCTGTCTGTCACATGGGGAAGGAAATCAAGTAAAATATTGACTGTTCAGACCAGAGGGTTATCAGAGAAGCAGAATTATCTTAAGAAGTTGTGTATGGCATAACCAAGTTGTGCCTGACCAAGCTGATGGCCTCCAGTTGGGTATTTGTACAGGGGAGGGTGGTATTGAAGAAGAGGTGCTCATCTGTGTAAACACCTGGGGAGCAAAGAGACTGGTAGGAGAAAGAATGCTGATGGGGATGAGTGTGTATGTGGGGGAGGAGGCAAGATGCTGGTACTCCAGCCTGCTCAAGGGACTGGGTCCAAGTCCTAAAGCAATATGGGCTATTAGAGCAAGCCACTATCAAAAGGAAAGGGCCCTGCTGTGCTTAGGTAACAACTTGTAACATGGAGTAATCAAGGGAAAGGCGTGATAGATGAGATATTTAATCTGGCCCTTCTGAAGCATTTGTAAAATATTTTGGGTTCAGAAAAAGAGTTCAATTAGGGATCCACATACCCATATGTATGAAAATATTTAAAATAACAAATAAACCATTAAGTAAAATAAGTTGTATCTTCTTTACAACAAATGTACCTTCATAACCCCTGAAAAGCCAAGCTGGGATTTAGAATTCTGACTCCTCTAAGTCCTGCTCCAATGGTGTAGGAAGAGCTGCCCCACTTCCCAATCGCCTAGACCAGACCCATCCCCAGTTCTGGGCATATACCACCACCCCTAGGCCTGGGAGCACAGATCCCAGCAATGTAGTCAGCCCTTCCAAGGACAGCTCCAAGAGAAGTACACAGGCCCTGGCAGCAGACTTGGGATTGTAAAGGGGTGCCAGGTACCTGAAACATGGGCTAGCAGGGGCACACCCCTTGTTCCAGGGGCTGGGCTCCTGGCCCTGTAGGGAGGGGCATGGTTGGAAGAGGACAAAAGTGGGGACTCTAAAGCACGGAGCTCAGGACAGAAATTCCTCTTGCCTGGGTCTAAGAGCAAGACTATACTATCAGCTTACTAGTATACAATGTAAGCACTGAAAAAAAACAATTTGAACTTGCTCAAATTACACTATATGGAAAAAATGTCTACTGGCCTGCCCTTTCATTTTAGGTAATGATGACAAGGAGCCTGTGCCTCACTGTTTCACCATGTGGTTCCAGCCATAAGGAATACATAATACATTTTAAAACATCGACACACACAAAAAGTAATTGTGGGCATGTGAAGTTTGCTTTGCTTTAACGAGCATTAGAACACCTACTAAGTGAAAATCTCAGTAGCCTTTGGAAAAGAAAGATAACCCCTTTTATAGTCCCAACCATTCAGAAGTTCACAGTCCAGGTGATCAGGGGTTGGGGGTTAGGGGAAGTAGATACACACACACACACACACACACACACACACAATGCACAAATAGATACTAGGACATGAATGTTCATATTAGCACTATTCATAATAGCCAAAAGTAGAAACAGCACAAATGTCCATCAACAGAAGAATGGATAAACAAATTGAGGTACATGCATACAATAGAATATTATTAAGCTGTAAAAAGGAATGAAGTACAAACACATGCTACAATGTGGATGAATCTTGAAAACATTATGCTAAGTGAAAGAAGCCAGACACAAAAGGTCGGCTATATGATTTTATTTATATAATATGTCCAATAATAGGTAAATTCATGGAGGTGGAAAACTGACGGTTGTCAGGGGCTGGGGGGATGGGGAGATGGAGAATGACTAATGGGAACAGGGTTTTGGAGTGATGAAAATATTTTGGAACTAAAGAGTTGATGGATGCACAAAATTGTGATTGTCACTGAATTGCTCACTTTTAAATGGTTAGTTTTATGCAAATTTTACCTCAATTAAAGAATGACAATATAAGTTAGAATATGAGATGTGCTACCATAGAATATAAGAGAAGGTATCAGTGCAATCAAGAAAGCACTTAGGAAACCTTAACTAAATGAAAAATGAGGCTGTCTAGTTTCAACCGCAAGAGCCCTGCCCCTTCTCTGATGTTTTGGTCAAATAGGACTCCACCTATTCCCCCTTTAGACAGAGTCCACAGATTAAACACATTATCTCCCTTTCCTCTTTTTATTTTTCTATTTTTATTAGGAAATATCTCAGCCATACACAAAGATATAGGGAATAATACTATCAACATCTATGTATGTACCACCCAGCTTTAGATATGTAACATTACATTTCTTAAGTTGAAGCCCACTGTTGAAGCCTCCTCAGTAAGATCCCCTTCCCTTTCTTTCTCCAAGACATAACCATCATCCTAAATGAAGTGTTTTATCTTTCCCACACATGCTGTTGCACTTGCCACATTGGTACACAGCTCCCATGAGCATGCTTTTTACTCCTGATACTTGTATCCACAATCAATATAGTGATCAGTTTGCATGGTTTTAGACTTCATGTACATGGTATTATGTTTGTACCCTTCTGGAACCAGCTTTCCCCCCTTATGCATTTTTCTGCTGCCATTGCCCACTCTCAGCCCCCCTCTCTCTCAGCCCCTGTGAGTTCTGGTCTCCGCAGTCCAGCCCTTGCCATCCGGTTCAG